TGGCTTTATTTCAGTCTTCACCCTGGTTGAGGACCAAGTCTCAATGTGGAAATGGAATACTGCTAAATTTGATACTTTGGTCACCCACTCTAAATCTGGCTTCACTCGTGGTTTGAATGCTCCTGCCCTCCTGGGGTTCCCCACCTGCTCTCTGAGGACTTCCCCTCAAGCTCCCTTCCTCTGACCCTTCATCTGCCCCTTCCATGGCCCCATTTCCCCAAGAGTCTACTTGCCCTTTTCTCTATACAAAATACTCCCACAAGTGACCATGCCGACTTCTAGGACTTTAATAACCACCTAAACACATAGAAATTATCCTCAAAGGTATATGTCCAGCTCAGACCCCATCCTGAGTACCAAATGCATGTCAAACTCTACAACATTTAAACTCAAAAGTGTCCAAATCAAGCTCATTATCTATCGTCTACCCCCTTTACTCAGTTAATGGCCTCATCACTCACCCATTCTTTAAGCAAATAAGCCCACCTCTATCACCCACCCCACCCTCTGCCATGTAATTAGCCTCTCAGAGGTGACAACCACCACCAGGACAGTTCCCCAGTGTGTCTCTGCTCCCAAGGCCATTGCCCAATATGAGGCCTTATCACCTCTGGTCCAGCTTGTCCCACAGCTTCCCAAACAGACTTTATACCATCTTTCTCTTTCTCTGTCAACCCATTCTTCACACTGCTGCCTGTCGTCATTGTAAATACAGCTCTGAGTATGTTATTCCTCTGCTTTACACAAAACTTTCACTCGCTCCACACTATCTATGGGATAACTTCGAATTCTTCACCAGAGCATACGAGTTCGTCCAACTTAGATGGCTTCCGTTGCCCCTTGGTCTCCACATGCTCCCCAGCACCTGTCTACATTCCAGGCACAACACTCTCCTTTGTTATTCTTAAATGTCGGTGCACCATTTCCCCGTCCTGCCCCTGTAGCCTCCCTTTCTGGTCCCACTGCCACATTTCCAGTAGTGAGACTCTGCCACTTAAATGTCACCTCCAGTGTGAGAGCCTCCCTGGTTTCCAGGACTGAATGAATCACTCTAGCTGCTTCCTCAAGATTATTACTAGAGTGTACTGAGTCCTAGGTGCACTAAATGCTAGATGCTACACTATGAGAAAGATCCACAGGTAGGTTCCTCTTCTATTGCAGAGCTTGAGGTCCAGAATCACATATAGGAAGCCCTGATCCTGGCTCCTAAGCCCACTGCTGCTCCTAGTACTACATGCCGTCTTCTTCCTCAGTGCTCACTGAGCACACACACCTGTCTGAAAGCACTCAGCAGCAGCAGGTCAACTGCATTGTCTCAAATATGCCAACAACAAATCTGACACAGGTCCTCTTATAACCCCTATTTCAGTTAAGGAAACTGAAGCTGAAAGATTAACTTTCTCCTAAGCAGCACGGCTAGAAAATGGCAAAGTTCAGGCTCATCCCTGATCCACACCACTGCAGAGCTAGATTTCTTAGCCACAGCACCATGCTGATTCACACAATTTTTATATCAATGTCTTGCCCAAGTGCTTCGATATTCCAACTATAGTTGACTCTTGAACAACACGGATTTGAACCGCATATGTCCACTTATACGTGGATTTTCTTCTGCCTCTACCACCCTTGAGACAGCGAGACCAACTCCCCCTTTTCCTTCTCCTCCTCACTCTACTCAACATGAAGATGATGAGGATGAAGATCTTTATAATAATCGACTTCCACTTAATGAATAGTAAACATATTTTCTCTTCTTCATGATTTTCTTAGTAATATTTTCTTTTCTCCAGCTTACTTTAAGAATACATTATATAATACATATAACATATAAAAATATCTGTTAATTGACCATTTATGTTATTGGTAAGGTAAGAGTAGACTATTAGTAGTAAGTTTTGAGGTAGTCAAAAGTTATATGCAGATTTTTGACTAACTGGAGGTGGGAGTCCGTGCCCCTAATCCCTGCAGTGTTCAAGAGTCAACTGTTTATAGGATTCCCTGATTCTGACAACTTGTTTGGACTATTACATTTTGTATTTTGCCTTATCTGCCAGACGGAACTCCTCCCAGTACCTGTCTTTGGGTTTATTTTCCCATCTCCATGCCTACGACCAAATCATATTTGAGGTTTCATTTCCTCCTATCTGTTGCCTCCTGCTACCATTTGTTAAGCCAAGCCCAGCTACATGCTGAGATATGACAATGGTTAATAGAAAACTTTGTGCATTTATATCCCATGTAGGTGGGTGGAAAACCTCCTCATGGTCACAGCCATGCTGGGCATGCCTTTGACCTTGGCTTTGGTTTGGTCACACACTTTGTATGTTAAATTCTGTGGATTATGGACTTTACAAAAGAGAAGCAGCTGTACCTGCGCCACGCCAACCTGGGGAGGGAACAAGTGCTGCAGAAATGCCCAGAACAGGCAAAACTATGAGTAGACAGTCTGTCTCTGGCCTGCTCAAACTTCTCCTGAAGACCCTTCTTTTGCTTCAAGGTTTATTTCACTTTTAATTTTAAAGGTGTTTTAGGACAATATAGAGTTCCTGGCTGGTAACTAGTTTCTTTCTTCAAACGTACCATTCCTTTATTTGTTTTTTGGCTTCCTAGTATTGGTATGGAAAAGTTAGCATTTAGTTTCCACTTCCTAAAAGTCAATCTGTTCTTCACCTACCTACTCACCTGGCTGAGTTCAACATTTTCTCTTTATCTTTAGTTAGTTTGGTTTTTGCTTATTTTTTATTATTATTATTATTTTAAGAAAAGTTTGTCTTTCTATTTATCTTGCTGCTTGGCTGTTTTTCTTGGGATTCTAATTTTTTATAATATCTTTTCTCGGTTTTGTGGAAGTCTTAGTCATTGGGTCTTCAAATATTGCTTCTGGTCCATTTATCTCTCTTTTCCTTCTGAGATTCTGGTGAAATGTATGTTATACTTTTTCTATGTGTCCTCTATGTGTCTTAGTCTCTCTTCTGTATTTCTCATCCTTTTGCTTATCCATGCTTTTTTCTGAATAGATTCTTCTGACTTATCTTCCAGTTCACTATTTCTGTCTTCATCTCTGTCTAATGTGTTTAATTTCCCAAAACCCCTTCTGCTGAGGTCTTAATTTTAGCTGTGGTATTTATCAGTTCTAAAATTTTTAGTTGCTTCTTCTTCATAATTGCAATGTCACTTTTTGTAGTTTGCAGTACTTTGCTGAAAATTTTCAGTTTAACTTTCATCTCCATGAGCTTAGGAGTCACAGTTATTTAGCAACTTGTCTGGTAATTTTAGAATCTGGCATATTAGTGGATTTGTTTCCATTGTCTGGTATTTATGTTTTATCTCATTTATATTATGCTGTCTCCTCATGTACATGAATATCTTTGATAGTGTGTTGGCTATTGCATATGAAAAATTATTGGTAGATCTGAGGTCTAAAATGATTTTATCTCATTTTGAAGAAGATTTAAATTGCATTTGCTGGATGCCTGATGCCTAGACGTATTAGCAATATGGGATTCCCCCTCATTATTCCATGGTTTGAGATTTTGGGGGGCCACTCAGGTGACTTGAAGCTTGGATGCAGTCTCAATGAAAGCTGCCTTACTTTTATTTTACCTAGGATATGAATAGTTTGCTAGGACTTCCACCCTAATGAGTTCCTGGACTCAAATTTTGGTTCTCTTTGCCCTGAGAGGCTCTTAGAAGTGCTGCTAAACCCTTCTGGGATCAGTAAATACCCTATGGGCAAAAATAGTCCCAAATACTAGGCTCATACCTCTCTCAGACATAAACTCAGAAATTTCACACTACCTTGTGAGTTCTTTGCTGCATTTAGAAAAATGTTTTTAAAGGTCATCCAAAATTTTTGAATTGCCTTTGTCAGGAGAGTTGGTCTGAGTTAGCATTATGAAAAGTAAATGTTTTACCCTTTAAGTTTGTAGGATGCTTTGCCAACTTAGACTCTGAAGACTCATTTGAAAAGTTAATATATAGCCACAAATAAACTGAACTTTTAGTAATGATTTGATCTTGTAAAAATAATATCTGAAATCATACCATTAGATTGGACTACTTTGAAAAACACAAAACAACTTTTGAATTTTCTTCAATTAAATGTGAAAGAAGCTGGCTAGTTGGAGTTTGTGTAGGAAACTGTCAGGAAGCTAAAATAGAAAGTTCCATTAACCCAGAGAGTCTGGTTTATATTTGCATGAAATGTCTATAAATATGAATGAAAGATGAAAAATCTTTTGTTAGAAAATCAGGTAGTTAAAAAACTTAAAAACAAAAAGAAAAAGAAAACCTCATTTTCTTTTACATTAAGCACAAAGCATTAGTTTCAGGAAGGAATGCAGTAAAGTTGTTGTTAGGAGCAGAAACTTTTTGTCATCTAACCAACTAATAGCCATATCTCTTCTCCTCCACCCCCATTTCAAACCTATTCTGTCCTATCAGAAAATCGATTCCTTCAAGTAGAAAATCAAAATATCCCAATCTCAAGAAAAAGTCAAACGATTGAGAACTCTGAGGCTTAATAATAATTGATCTAAACTAGTTTTGATAAATCTATTCCACTATAATTTTCTGATCTCCTTTGTAGCTAATTCTGGCTAATAATATATAAGGGGGAAATTTGCTTTTCTTATTAAAAGAAACACACACACAAAAAAAGCTAACACTGTTCCTTCTTCCTTTCTTCAGATGTGGACTCAGGATGTTCAGAAAAAATACTGCAGTCATTTTTTTGACCCTAAAGTAATAAAACAATGAAAAGCCAACAGTAATGTCAGAACAGATATTGAGTTACTAAACAAACCTTGAGATTATCTACCTCCTGATTTGTTTTTAGGTAAAAAAGTAAATGTCCTTACATTTTAGGTTGCTAATAGTTCAGTTTCCTATGATTTTATGTTGAAAACACGCATAGCTAATACACGTACTAAATGTGCTCATACGACAATATTTTGATCCAGGTTTTATTAGAAACGATGCTTGAAATTTGTGTCACTTACCATAATACAAGAGTCCTGAGGTTCGAGGTCAAAGTCAGTGAAGTTCAAGAGAATACGGTAATTTCTGTCAACCCGAATAACCCAGGAGCAGTCTGTGTTACTCCTATAAGGACTGGGATAATTTGGAGAATGAATCTCTCCACTGGGAGCCTGGAAAATCCCACCACAACCTGTAAGTGGGAAACCCAATTCAGCAATGAGAGGGATCATGGATGCATTAAACAATACTACTATTACCTGGCAGTATGGGTCAATATACTACTTTGCTTGACAATTAGTTTTCCTTAGTCTATCCTAAAAATTTTGAAGAACTGAATATCCACATTAATTCATTTATCCTAACAGAAATAAGAAGGACTATGTGGAAAACGCTGAGAAAATACTTCAAATACTTCAAACACTGATGCCAAAGTTATTTTAAAAAATAGTGAAAATCAGTGCAAATGAAATCATGTTTTCACAAAGGCATGAAATGTTTTTCCATCTTCCTCTAAAAATACAGCATACTATAAGAATAACATGTCTCCTCCCAGGAATTTTGATAATGTAGTAGTGTATGCTTTTACAAATAATTTAATATCTACTTTTAAAAAATGTAATATTCTAGATGTAGTGTAGTTAATTTTTTTTTCATTTCTGTGATATCAAATACCTGTTAGGGCAATTATCTATCTCAACCACCCATTACTTCTTGGATTTATGGTAATATAAACCAATAATGGAAAATTCAGTACTACTTTCTAATAATTGAGACTCACTTAGGGGTACTCTAAACATGTATGTGTGTGTGTGTATTTAAATTCCTACATAATTAACTTTAAGAGAAATCTCTTACATAGTTTCTACATTATCACAGAGGTGAAGAAGGAGAGCCTTAGATGGGCTCGGTCACATCTATGCTTTCACCTTTTCCAGCCGTGGGACTTTGGGCAAGTCACAAACTTCTCTACTCTTCAGTTTCCTTATTAGTGAGGTGAGGATGAGAAATGGACTTCCCTCACAGAGCGGTTGTAAGGATTAAATGAAATATTCCTTGTAAAATAGTTAGAAAAGTACCCAGCACATATTATGGATTCCATAAATGTGGCTACCATTAGAAGTTGTATAAGTTAACATCGTTAAAACATTTTGTGCCACAGTTTGTTACTTAAAAAATGCGCAACAGGGAATTTAAGATCTTGGGAAGAAAGTCACTGTATACCACAGAGTAATTCCTTGGGATTCACAAATGCAGTTTGGCATTTGCCAAGAATCCAAAGGTCTGTGCTGTGGCGTGAAGTCATTTGCCACTCACTGATGCCTCAGTTTGAGGTGGTGAAGAGGCACAAGTCCCTCGGAGAGTGAGCCCTGTCAGTCACCCTAATTCTCTCTCATCACGGACTTGCATACTTGTGCCCTTGTTTTCGCATAGGGGATAAAACTTAGGAAGTTAAACTCTATCACATTTTTTAGGGAAAAGTACATGTGAAAGCAGTCTTTGCCATTTGGGAAGTCAGTAAGTTATCAATCAAGGTGTAGCCTCCACACCTTTCTCCAGATAGCTCACAAAAGGTAACAAGGGCTCAGCTCAGGTGCTTTAAGACATCTCCTTTGTTCACTCACCTCCAGGGACCTCTTGCCATGAGGCGTTGAAGCCTCTCCCGTTTACAGAGCTGTCGGTCTTAAATCGGATTGCTAGCTCATTTCCAGTGCTGGAGACCTCCATGGGGTTCTCCGATGATCGCTGCGCACACAACTGGGCTATTCTGGGAGAGTGGAAATCAGGGCCTCCATAGATCTAAGATGGGGATTAGGAAAAAAACTTAAATTAAGAGTTACATTTAAGCAATCACAACCCTTCCCCCTGGCTCCTTTTCAACACCAGCTCTTGGATTCTATTATGATGAGAGATTGAAATCTCAGCCTCCCTGGGTGCGGATGAACTATAAACTTGAGCTGAGTTTTCAAAGGCACTCCCTCTGCTTTAGGAAAACACAAGTTCATTCCCCCACCAAACGCCTGCCTGTTTCATCAGCCAGAATCCTCCCTATCTCCCCCTTTCCTCTTTTTCATATCTCCGTGACATTTCCTGCTTTCTCTGGCAGAGACGCTGCAGATACTATAGTATTAAGTCTGGTTGTCTAACTCTTACAGGCACATAGACTAGTCAGCATAAAGTCATTCTGTTTATGAAAGTAGAGTTTACTGAAGGCTATCGATTTCCCAGTTATATTTTTAGGAATTTCCACCTACCCTGCAACTAAATATTTTATAAAATTAGGCATTAAATATAACGATTTTCCTTCTTCAGAGGGAGTGGAAATGCAACCTCTAGAAGTGTGTTCTGGAGCAGCATGAAGAAGGGGTGCTACAGACCGTCCCTGCGCCCTGGCAGGCGCCTGACCAAGAGCATCCAACCCTGCTCAGGAATTGCCCCAGACTCTGCCCCAGTCTCTGCATGGCTCCCTCTAGATCTATCACACTTGAATTCAGACCTCCTAGGCTCCCCCAAATCTGCCAACACCCAGTGGCACATTCCTCTGGAAAGGGGTCCCTCTGTCTCACACACAGCATCCTGCAGGCACAGGTAGCCCGGGCCAGGCCAGGCCTCCAGGGGGGCTCACACACATTTCCCAGTCTCCCCGGGCCCTGCTTATCTCAAGTGTGCACGTGGGGTGGTGGGGAGAGGAGGGCAAGGGGAGATAAGAATCAAACAGAAGATGCTGACCCACCACCTTCAGGTCTTGTCAAAGTTGAATTTGCAGAAGAAAGACCATGTTGGGTGACAGTTTTCAGGGATATTGGTATCTGAGCCCTTCACAACCGCGCACCCAACCCCCCCACATCTGGGTGCACAGGCCAGAGCTGGGAAAGCAGCTCTGAGCGAGAGCTGGGCGCAGTGCACCCCCCTCACCTCTCCCACCGCTGGGCCACATCCCCCCCATTCCTCAGGCCCCCTGGGCCCTTGCCCACCCTCAGGCCCACTCCTGACTGATAGGAAAATCACTCAAGTGTTCTCTGGGGAGAGAGAGAGAGAACAAGAAGCCTACTTTGGGAGAGGAGTGTGTGATTTGAATCTATAATGATGTCTTTGTCTGATTAATTCCCCCCAGCCATGCGGGAAAGGCCAAAATGAATGAAACTGCTGTTCCGCAGAGGGCTGAGCCCAAGGACAGTAATTGCAAAGGAATGAAGCAGGCTGGCTGCTTCAGGCTTATTTTTATTAGGAGGAGCTGATGTTTGTGCGGCCCCCTATGTCCCATCAAAAGCGGGACTTTAGGAAGAGCCCTGTGTGGCCCTCCACACGTACACATATGCAAATGGAACAAACAAGCTTGCTGCTTGTATAGAGTGTTCTTTCCCATTTTCGAGATTTCCCTACCCCCTCGCCCAGGGCACAGTCCCCAGAGCATGACGCTGACGGTGTGTGCCCCTGGCCCTGCAAGCCCAGCAAACAGCACATATTTGGAGAGAACACTGAGCACACGTGTTAGGGGCTGACAAAGAAATCTCGCGCGTCGGCAAAATATTCTTTGTTTTCTCTGCTCCTACATCCCCTTGAGATCACAAACATAATGGGTACGAGCTGGCTGGGCTTAGAAGCCTGCACAAGAATAAACACTGCCACTTTTGACATTATTTGCTTCCTTTCTAAGGGCTGAGCTCACAAACAGCATTGCAGAGAGATCCGACCAAGCTGAGGGCCCACACCAAGCAATTGTCCTGGTTAATTGCACCAAGGAGTGGATTTCCTTTTCTGCTTGATGCCAGCTCAGGCTCTTTTTACAGAGATTTCTCAGAGATTGAAGCAGAATCAGCCAGTGTTTCCATGACCAAAACAATGGAATGGTACTTTCGGCTTCCACAAATAAAACCGACAGTTAGCACATGACTCTTCAGAAGAGGAAAAAGATGGAAAGAATTTCAGGGTGTGGTTCATTCGACTACAGCATATGACTAAACTTTGGGGGAAAAAAAAAAAGAATTGGTCTGATGATCAGAGATTAAAAAATGTGTTTTTAGCAAACGCTCAGGATGGGGAACATTTCAGAGCCTATGGTTTTAATCCGTTTTGAACATTACTTTCTGCTCTGTTAGCTCCATTTATTGTTACGATCAAGTCAGCATTCCGGGGTTATGAGTAACCAAATGGCTGTTGCTTTCTGCAACTGGCCACTTTCTGGATGCTGATGTTTGAGGGGGGGAAAAATGGCTCCTGGTTAAATTTGGTGAAAGCCAGGGAAGCCCAACTCCTGGTGACAGTAACGTCCTCCTTGTCTGCACTCAGCAGAACAGGAAAGAACAATGCGCAGGCTGAGGAAGTGGGCAATGCTTCTAGACCACACACCCACCAGGGGTAACAAATTCTGAAACCTACCGCTCTCATGGTATCAGCAGCTAGAGAGTGAGGGATGGAGAAAATCGTTCCATCCTCATTAGCCCAGATTTATTAGGGCACTTTCCATCTGAGTTGAGCACGGGCAGGCAAGTGAAACAAGGTTTCTGAACAAAAAGTCAGAGGGTTGCTCATTTCGGCTTTAAGAAGAAAACTTTACCACAATATTTAAGGGCCTCAAAACAACGCCCCCCCCGCCACCAACCTTGCTTTTGATGGAACACAGGGGGCCACTGCAATGTCAGCTTGCCATACTAAAAGTAAGCCCTGGGCAGACTCCTGTCTCTCCTTGCAGCCATTTCTCTCAGGCATAGGACCCTCCTTGAGGCCCTGATGGTGTCCCTCGGGCCCCAGGCTTGCTTGCAGGGAACAGCGCCTGTCTCTGCTTCCTCATGTAATGGGTGTGACAAAACTCAAAGCACAATGAGCCCATTTACGTTTTGCCAAGTGGGCAAGAAAATCACATGAACTTTGGAACATGAAAATGAAGGGTTTGGAGCATTGCACGTTGCTGCGGAGGATCCGCTGCCAGCCCTTTGTACGTGTGAAGGAGTTTTATGCGACCCAGCAATGTCCTTGCTGGCAAGGCAGACCATTCGAACGTTCCACATGGGAATGCTAGGCCTGCTTCATGTTGTGAGTGTGGGTTTCAGGAAGCACCTTGTTCTCTCCTCCTAATAACCTGTTCCTCCTCGGAGACGGAGTCATGACTTGGCAGCATCACTTCCAGGAAGACAAGGGGATGAGTTTGACCCAAGGACTCCCACCCCAAACGTGCATTAACATGTTGTATCGCCAGAGGTTTAGGTGCTTTCATTCATTCCATAACGATTCCATTTACCGTAGCAGCATCCTCCTTTGGAGAAACTTGAGCTACTAAATGTAATTAATTCCTAGTGACTCTCACTGAGGGGATATTTTAGAACCCCATTTCTTTTCAAGGTAAGAACTTGTTTTATAATTAAATGAAGGCTTTAAGTGTTAAAGTTTCCTGTAAGGTGCACGCCACACAGCACACAGTGTGGTTGCACACTGGTGGTCCAGAGATGTGCATTGAATAGTGATCGGGTTTGGTTCTTGGCTCTTCTGCTCACCATCCGTGTGGTCATGGAAAAACTCAGTAACCTTTTTAGCCTTGGTTTTGACCACTGTAAAATGGAGACCAAGTTCTCCTCTTCACAGGATTATCATTTAAATGAGAGTATGTATATAAAAATTCCTCTGTAAAGCACCCCAAAAGTGTATTATTACACTGTGTCTTCAGAAATTTAGATGCTTTCATTCATTCTACAAACATCAGTTGAGAGTTTACTACTTGCCAGGTACTCTGTGGCACTAGGGAGTAGCAGTAAAACAAAACAAAACAAACCCCAGCCTCATGGAATTTAAGTTCTACTAGATATGGAATCCTTGTCATGATGTGCTACAGCAGTTCCTATGACTGAGGTGAAAGGATTTTTGTGTGTACTTGGAAGCCACTGAAGTTTGCAGACAGGTCAAAGTACAGGACCTATATATCTCCTAATGACTAGATTCATGCAATAAAAAGCTGATTATAAGCTTTTGGGCCTACGATTCTCAGAGACTATCCTAAGGATCTGAGATACACCCTTTGCAGTAGTGTTGGAAAAGTTTTCATCTTTAAATGCCTTCCACTATCTAAGTGACCATTATTTTTAAAAGCCACCTGCAGCAGACATATCATAGTGACAGCCACTGCACCCCCCGGCTTGCACCTGCTGCTCTGGTGGGCATTTCCTGTGCTTGCTGCCAGCACCCACTCTCTGCACTCTGCCATGCAAATGCTTTTCTCAGGGAGCTTTCTCAGACCGGAAGTGTGGGGTGTTAACAATCCCAAGAGCAATCCTCATCACTGGGGACCAGAGTTGGGGACCAATGCCTCAGTTTCTGATCCTTCGGAGGGGTGACCCTCAGAGGGTCCCAGCGGGACTGAGCCCGAGTGGCCGGCAGGGGCCCCTTCCACTGGCTTTCCCTCCCTCTCCCTTCTCCACGCCTTCACTCACTCTGTTCCCCTGCTTCTGCTTCCTGGCCTCCGCTCCTAACTAAACTACAGCCAAGGCCTTCAGGCACTGCTTTAGGGAAGCCCAAATTAAAATATTAATCCCATATGTCTACCAACATGATTCACAGAGGCCTGAAACTCATTAAAATGTCTAAGAATAGAACATGGCTGACCACTGAAAAGAAGTAGGGATCTTGGCAGAATGATTTCCAGTTCTACCCCAAATTTTCGAATGTGCTGGAAAACAATCTCACTTCCTACCTCTAGGACGTCAAAGTTGCATCTTGCATGATACTCCACGTCAAAGTCATGGATGGTGAGCTGAATGCTGCTCCCGGGGGCAGTCTTAATGTACCAGATACACTCCTTGTTGGGTGCATACCTGCTAGGATACCCGGGGCTGCTGAAGACTCCCGTGGCTCCGGACAGCTCCCCACCGCAACCTGTTAAAACAGCAGGGCTCAGTCAGTTCTGAGTGGGCAGCAGCGAGTTGAAAAAAATTCCACCCATCAAAAGGTAATTCAAAATATACAATGTGTAATTTACGAGAAAATCATTATTATAATAAAGTGATGTTTATGTGGTTATAAAATGGTGAGGAAAAAAATCATGGCTACCAACATTACTTTTATTCCTTTTTAAAAAAAATATTGATTATATCATTTGGTGCTGTAATATAATGCTCAGTCCTTATTCTCACCACATCAAATCTTAGGTACTTTTTTTCAAAACGTTATTCTAGTTTTAGATTTCTTCATTACATTTAGGTAAGAATTACATAACGTAGTAGGAAGTACAATGGACTGTGTGAGCAGCATTAGTTAATGAACTCCCTATCTCTGGGTCTTCAGTGTTCTTGTAGCTAATACATTATTTCTAAGTCCCTTTCAGATGTAAGACTAGAATTCTAAGTGCTAAAAATCCTTGGCTTTGTACATAAGACCGAGGGAAATAAAAAAGTAAATGATATATGTCTTGACCCAAGGAATTATATAAAAAAATGCAACAGATACATAAAAACCCAACTAAGGAAAAGGACAGCAGGATATGTTTATGAATATTTGTATATCATGCTTTAGGATGCAATTCAAGAAGACCACGGCAACAAATAATCAAATGCTGCAAAATCGAACACAGAAAAAAATGCCACCATTCATTGAGCACTCATACGCACTTACAGGTATTTCCTCTTTTAATACTCACCGGGACCACATGAGGTAGGTACTATTATTATCTACATTTCTTAAATGAGTAGATCAATGCAAACAGAGGCCAAGTGGATCGCCCAAGGTTACCTGGCTTGCAGGTGGTGCAGCCAGGACACCAACGGAGGCAACCTGCTTGTGCCCAGCACTTGATTACTAAACTCTACAGGCCCTCAGATCATTTGTAAGAATTCAGGCAGAGATTTCAGTCTGGAGAGGGAGAAAAAACTTTACAGAAGAAGTAAAATTTGAGAAACGTTTCCTAAAGACAACATTAGAAAAGACAAGATAGATTATCTTGTTTTCCGATAGCAATTTTTGGTGATTAAAAAAACACCTTTTGCTCTGTTAACATTCCTGGACCTTCTTTTCTACTTTTTTGGAATATTGTTTAATAGTTGGTAAATTATTCCAAGGACCTCCTCTCATTCTGCATTGAGGCTCTTTGTGTTTAAAAATAACAGGGCCTCCTCACTCCGTTATGAATCAATTTGTATTTTCATATGAATGAAATTAAACTATCATGACTTCAAAAGTAAGATACTAAGTCTGAGATCTTATCTACTCTCCACCCTAATCAAATTCCTACTGTACAGTGAGTTAGGAAAAATGCTTTTAAAAGTCAAAAGTTAAAAAAAAAAATTCTCCCTACAGAATCCCCACTTAACTGGAAAGTGCTGAGAAAATTCTAAGAATCTTGATTAAGTAAAGAAATCTGACGCTAGATCCATGCACTGCCTTCCGGAGTTGTCAGTTTCCTCCTTCCGCTTGAAAACCTCTATGTTTTCAGACTTTAAATTTGTTGCACAGTGTAATATCTTTCCTATGTCATATAGACTTCCCGCTTTTATTTCTCAAGCCTATGAAGAAGCTGTTTAAAATTACACATGCAGGTGATGGTGAATGTTAAAAAAATGTAAGTGCCATAAACGATTAGAAAATATTTGTCCGACTATAACAACACATGGCAAATATTCCTGAAACCAAATCAGCACGGATTGCACTTATCTCCAGTACTGCTGCCCAACTCCAGAGAGACATTGTTTACAGAACATTCCATAAAATGATGCTTCCTGTGAATTGTGTTAAGATGTAGTACCTTTTACTAAAATACATGATAGGTAAGCAAAGCCATTCTGTTACCCCAATTTTGTTTCGACTGCATTTTCAGCTCATAGGGTTCTTAATATCAGTTGTATCAAATAAATAATCTGGTCAAAAAATCTCTTGAGGAAAATAACTTCGTGGCCACATGATATAAAAGAGAACAAGGAAATGAAAGCTTGGATATTTCATCTCTGCATTTTTATTTAGCGTCAGTTCATCAGCCAATCTGATTCAATTTTCTTAATCATAGTTGATTCATCCAAAACTGTACATAACATTTTTCCATTGTCTTTTCCAATTGTTTTAGGTTTCCTTGTGAATTCCTTTGCAAATAACAGGATACTAATATCCTTTAGCTAGTTACTATAAACTGGAATGGTAATATCAGATTCTTGTCATTCAGTAATTAAGGCTTTAAAAAAATTACAGTATAGCTATGCAGACCCAAAATGTCCTTTTTTCCTAAGACTTAAAGCAAACAATAAATAAGGTTCATTTAATAAACAGAGCAAATTTTTATTTTTATGTATGTCATGTTTTATGTATATGTCTTTTAAAGATAAATTTTAGTATTACTATAAGTGATACTCTGTCAGTGGAAAAATAGCATGTGGTTGTAAGATTAGGCTTGAAAACTCTCAGAAATTTTCTTTTTTCCTTCATGCCTTTACTACCTCTGAGGTTTAACATATCAAAAGGTAACGAATTTGATTTAAAAGTTCACAGCAAATGGAAAATAGAATATATTAATTTAGTGGTATTAAATGATCAAGTTTTGACTATTAAAGTAATAGAAAATAAAGTTACTTCTGATAATTATGGTAGAAATTTAACACCACCTTTATATTTCTAAAATTTGAAAGAGATAAAATAACTTTCTAATTCATTGATTTAGTTATTCATTCATTCACTCAGTAAGTATTTACTGAGTATCTGCCCATAGCATATGCCCATATGTATAAGAGAAGCCAGGTATATTTAACGCCTCTTGAAAAAAAAAATTTATAGACATAAAAAGTACTACTACCCACATGCCCTCCTGCAAGTCATTAAATTCTTTTTGCTTTTCCTTTAGTTTACAAAGAGACATTTCATTAAGTTTTGATTTGGAAAAAAAATCAGTAAATTCTATTTTATCCTTTACATGTTAATTAGTGGTAAGTTACAAATACAAATAAATAAATCGTCATGTCATCATCAGTCAAATTTGTGACTTTGGGTGTGTGACCAAAGGGTCACGGGAAGGGATAGGAAAAAGAGATAGAGGACAGACAAGGCTGGAGGTAACAGAAGTTACATCAACCAAAAGGTATCAGGAAATAACAGAGGAGGTGATGTTTAGACTACCAATATCCTCTCCATCATCATGTTACCTGTCTGGTTCAATTATCAATAAAATTAAAAAAAATAAAGAAAATTTTATAACCAGAGGTCCATAATCTAAAAGAGATGACAATGATTTAGAAAAGCATTTCAGGGATCTACATGAAGAAGATGATTAAACAATGAAAAAACCAACCAAGAAGAGAACGATGGCATGATGAGTAAAGAGTTTTGAGAGCTACATATTCAGAAGAAACAGAGATAGAGGCTCTTTGAACCTAATTGCTAAGAGAAGGTTTTCGTGGAGGAGACATGATTTCAGAACTGCTTAATTGGCATGGTGCATGGCCAACCATTTGGAAACATTATAGCATACCAGATAAAGCATGGATGTGGCTTCAGACAAATGGGTTCCAGTACTGGCTGTGATACTTCTCAGGTAAATAATTTAACCTCCCTAATCAATCAGTTTCTTCAGCTATAACAGCATTAACACTTACCTCATAGTAAATGTTAAAGAAAGATTGTTTTCATTTAATCAAAAATTAAATGAAACAATGAAACAATTAAAGTAAGGTTTTTAACTAAATGTCTTGCATATCATAATTGCTCCATACATGCTGCGATTATACCTTAACAAGAATTTATGCAGACATGAGATGAGATTACAGAAAGACTTGAAGCTAGAGGAGGAATTACTGGCTAAAAAGCCATCATGAATAGCTAGAGAAGAGGTAAGAAACTGGTTGTTCATTAAGCTACGAGAAAGTTTTTAAAAGACAGTCCATGCTTCTATGTAGTTCACAGTATTCGAAGTGCTTTTAATATGCACATTATCTTATTTGAAATTCATAACAATGACGTGAGATAGGCAAGAATGATAACATCAGGCCCATTTTAGAGATGAACAAAGTGAGGCTCAAGAAAGCCGTGGGAATTGCCCATGTCATATAGTGAATGGCAGATCTGAGGGAAAAACCTAGATATTCTGACACCAACCTCCTCCTCCCCCAACCCCACCTCCGGTTCTGTGCTCTCCCCACTATGAGCACTTTGTCCCAAAGGCACTGGAACAGCACTGTTGACATTGCCCTCATTACTGTCTGTCTCTCCACTGAAAAAAAGAAATCACCATAGCAACCTGGAAAAAGTAAACAAAGCAAAAATCTTTTCATTGTCTTTGAGACAAATTTGACAGAATCTAATGTATTAATATCATTAGACATCAGCTGAACTGGAATAAAATAATGCCCTGAAGAGAATAATTAATCTTCAGTTTCTCAGTTTTCAATAATTAATCTTTATAAAACTTTTAGTACTTGCGACTGATAATCTATTTGACTTGATTTTCCTCCAAACTCCCAGTCATCAGCTGAAAGGAAGTGCTTACCTTATCAGCAGGAAGCATGTTGATCTGCGGAACTCATAACAAGGAAGAGTTAAAAGCTGTTGCTAAACCTGCTTACTTGTATAGACAATTTAAAATTTTTTCATAAAAGAACATTGATAATCCTGTTTTTGTCTTTGTTCAAAATAAGCTATGAGTTATAAAATTCCAGTACAAAAAAAATTTAATAATAATCTCCAATGCATGTTCTTTCTATCTTGCAGTTGTGTGTATGTGTTTTTAATAAAAGAGCTTTCGTAAAAGCAAACCAGCAATGAAACAGCCAAACGGAATCAGATGCACAGTTTAGAAAGAGCCTTCTGCATTGCCCTGTGATTGCTCAAGTGAATCATCTCTTTACACTTGGCATTTTCCTGAAACTATAATCCATCAGCGAAAGCCTCAGGAGGGGAGGCAGTTT